TTTCTGCAATGATGGTTTTCACTAAAAGCATGGAATTAATTAGGTGTATTTTTTTGAAAATATATGCATTTTTAAGATGAATTTTTCTCAATTAATATTATTCCAAGTATTTTTTTTATCAAGTGATACTTTCTATCTGTTAATCAATGAATAATTTATAAACTGTAAAAAATTTAATTTTATACTTTACATAGTTCTGGGGTTATTGTAAAACTAATTTTTTGGACATGTTGACCTTTGACGAAACCTTAAAGGATGAGGTGACTTGCGGCCCCTCGTATATTGATAAAAAATTAAATGTCTAAATTTTACTCAAGTTTTTTGTATATAACTAATCACTGATATGTGAAACTTTATAGAATACTATTTTTAACAAAAATAGAGACGTGATTTGAAAAATATAGATCTTTTATTGGGGAAGGGGTATCATGTTTACATTCAATTCCCATTGCATTTTAACCCCGCCCCACTCTTTGAAGCCCTTAAAATATACGAGCGCTGGTAGGTACAATTTTCTCCTTTGTCTGGTCACTGTATTTTATTGAAATCTACCTATATTTGAAAGGAGGAAATTGTACCTAACTGCGCTCACATGCTATTTTTTAAAAATATTGTAAAATCTGGTCGGCCTTTCCCATTATAAACAGATCGACGGAACTAGATTTTCTGACGTAAGAATGAATTCATATGCTAATTGAGGCACAGGCGATTCTATCTAGATGACCAATCAGCTAAATGAAATTCGTTACGAGTGAGTACCACAAAAATACTACGGAAACATGCTTAGAAGTTTACTGCTTTTTTTATGCATTTGAGTCACAGATTAGACACAGATCTACATATGTACCATTTCCGAGACCACAGTAAAATTTATAATATACTGTTACGAACAATTGATAGAATATACATGACATATATATTGTACATTAGTTTAAAGTTTTGTAGCGTGTTTGGTGAGCAATTCGCTAGGTCTACCCGTATTCCCAAGTATCAGTAAACACAAGTTTCATGTGCATTTCTAGTCCTAAAAACCGTAAATACTGAAAATCCATGCTTATTATTAAGTATAAGCAGCATTGGCTGACTTTTATAAAAGTTTGAAATGTAGAATAGGATAACAGGTAAATTGACCTAAACCACGTGTCTGCGATAAAATGTATATTATACGTAGTATACGTAGTAAACCAGCATGTTTTGTTGTTCTGTCATCGGATTGGGCAATGACTAAGTGCGAAATAACAACAATAGCCATATAAGGTCTTCTCGGACACGCATATCCCTCTATTGTACTAAGACCCGCCCATTCCCTTGCCACAAGACAAAATATTTGCACAAACCTGGCCGAATTTAGCTGTGATAGGGTCTAAAATATCAAAGATAATGCAGTATTCCTTATAATTTAAAAGTGTCTGAACTATTGAAACTATTCAAAAGGCGTCGTATTTATTCACTCATGTTTGAAAACTACCAACATCGTTGTAGATTAAACATAATTCGTCGTGGAAAAAGGGGCCCCAGATAGGAGTTATGTCACATCATCCTTTACTCTATATACATGTAATTAAGTACAGTGCATTCAATAAAACTAAATCAGAGTCAGAAAAACGATACATTTAGGTGTATTTATATCCGTAAAAGCCCTATACATGTATTTGGTCTCATTGTTTTAGTTCTAAATATTTTAACAGCGTGTTTCCCATGTTGGTTACATGTATTTATTTGGATTAATTTTATTATCTTATTTGTTAAACGCAGTCAAAAAAATTTGTTTTGTTTTATTACATATTGTTTATTACATTTTGCGTTGTCTACAGTGCAAAAATATAATAACGCAAAATGTAACAACGATCTCTAAACGAGGTAAATTATATCTCAAGTACGCAAAATGTAATTATCTTAAAATCGTGTTATTACATTTTGCGTTATTACATTTTGTGTTGATCTCGACGCAAAATGTAATAACGCAAAATGTAATAATCCAGGCTTATTACGTTTCGCGTTGTAACACCGCACACTTATCACAGTATAATGTAAACAGGGAAGTCTGCACACTTACATGCACTTACACAGATTTGTTGAGTTTTATCTCTAAACACGATCTCAAATTAAATAACCTAAGTACCATATAAAATACTAAGTGATTATTTATTTTCAAACTAATTAAAACACTAATCAAGCTTCCAGTTACTGTAGATTGGGAAATATTCACGGTGGTTTTAATTTCGCTATGTTCGCGATTTATTAAATTTCCGTGAAATTAAATCTATCATGAATGGTAGGTTTACTTTTTAATTATGTTAAATTGCTATATGAAATTTTGAATTAATTTCTCGCAGCGTGAAATTAAAACCATCGCAAATGGTTCTTTTTTAGATATCGTGAAATTTTAACACCGTGGAATTAAACCAATTTACAGTAACCAGTCTTTAGTAACCTAACTAAAGTAACATACAATGATTTTAGTTGACAACTTTAATTCAAATTCAACACTAATTAGGTATTTATTTTCGATGCATACAATAAGTAATTAATAAGGACAAGGGCAATAACTTTCGCTAAATGAAAATATACTCCCCGTCAATGAAAACGCAACACTCTACTTTTAGGGTGGAAAATTATCTTGATATAACTATGTACCAAACAAGTACTAGGACATCTTTTACTTTGCCAAATCAGTTATTTAGTAATTGAATGGTTTTCATTCCATAACCGAAATATATTTTTTAGCCCTCTGAACAGATAACATTTAAATAAAACATCTTCACATTTCATAAAAACATGCTAGTTGCCATGTACAACATAAATTTTTTGGCAGTCCGATTTTACCATGCATTAGGTTTATCAATGTCTTTATCTGAACGCTTGAAAAATGTTCTTGGGCATTTTTAATTGCCTGTTGTTCAGATACTGCGGTCGAATTTTCTCTAACTTGTCGTAGTGTAGTAACTCTTGAACTTCAGGTCAAGAAACTGTTCTTTATGCTATTGAAACACATGAGCCTGATGAGTGGTTAAATAGTGTACATTTGCAACTGCAGCTCTTTTTTTCTTTATTTGGAGAATCTCCAGCTTTATCAATGAAAATCAGTCATTTTGAGGAAATATAGGAATCACATCCGGTAAAGAAAGAAGGGTTTATTTCACGGCCTTTAAGTACATTAGTTATGATAAACAGCTAAAAACCTCTTTATTTTAAAAATTTTATTATAAATGCAAAAATTTGATTTCTGTGAAGAGGGCTAAAAAGCAACTTCCGGTAGAGGAAAAAAATCATTCAACCGTTAAATAACTGATTTGGCAAAGTAAAAGATGTCCTAACTTTTTTGGTACTCAGTTATAACCCGTGTATACTTTTCACCCTAAAATTAGAGTGTTGCGTTTTCATTGACGGTGAGTATATATGGAAAACAGCTTTCCGCTTCAATATCTTGTTAAACATTTAAAACATCCTGTTTTAATTATAATATTCTATTATATGAATGTTAAATATAAACGCGCGACGACTTCAAACTGTCATATCAAATAACCGACCGCCTCCTTACTTTCGTTATTTTCAAATTTTGCTTTGTCAATCTCTATAAAAAAAATAATATAATGTAACAGGAAAGGAGAAAATGCATGGCTGGACCGGGAATCGAACCCGGGACCCCTGTATCACTAGTCAGGTGCTCTACCGATTGAGCTATCCAGGCCGATATTCACGGCCCTAACCATTACATTCCTCCCTCCTTATACTTTGGCCCTCCAAAGATTGACCCAGGCTCATTTTTTTTCATGGTCAATTCCGGGGCATGGCACGGCACCAAATCTGTAACAGGTAAGGAGAATATGCATGGCTGGACCGGGAATCGAACCCGGGCCCCCTGTATCACTAGTCAGGTGCTCTACCGATTGAGCTATCCAGGCCGATATCCACGGCCCTAACCATTACAATAACAAAACACAGGCGCTTGTTTCATACAGTAAGCTTAGATTTCTACTTCATTACGTCAATCCATAGAATTATATTTACAGAATGAAACGATAAATCTTTTTTATTATGCATTTTTATGTGAATATACCTGCATCCCCACTGAGAGGCCGATATACGACCAAAACCGAAAGGGCTATTAATCTTCTTCTTCTTCAAATTTTCATTTTGGTTTAATTTTCGTTGTTTTTGTGGTGTGTACTCAAATTGAGTGTCAATACAACAGCTTTAGTATATATTTGTATATGGATGAAATATTGCTATGAATGTTTAAAAAACGGGAAGACTTCGCTTCCACACTGTTATTTCAAATAACCGACCATCCTTACTTTCGTTATTTTCAAATTTTGCTTTGTCATATCTTATGAAAAAATAATATAACAAAAGTAGGATTACCTTTCGATTGGCCGTCAATCCATAGAAATTATTTTTTCACAGAAATAAAATGTATTTACAAAGCATCCTTAAAAGCAAATCTTCAAAACGCACTTTCTAGGAAGGGATAATTTATATGAATATATGTTTATTTGATTAGATTTTTCATGGCTTACAGCTCGATAACAGCAGAGACATAAATCAAATTCGAAACCAAAAAAGTATCAAGGGCTGAAAATCTTCTTCTTCTTCAATTGCAGGGGGCTATAAAAAAATTAACTTCAGTTGTTTTCAAAATGGTGTGTACTCAAATGGAAATTTATTGTGTCAATTCAACAGCTATGTGAGTATATATTTATATATGGATGTAAACATTGCTGACTCAACCAGGAAACACTCGGCCTAAATGATCTTTCAATAATGAAGTTCATAATCATGCATATATATTATAGCGAGCGTCGCGAAGCGAGCTCAATAGACTAACGTGTAAGAACAGATGAAATTCGGAAATCCCAGAGTATTTTTGATGGTCACAACTGCGCTCGCCCCAACGGTCACACCGTGAACCATATTATAGAGGTATGTTTTTTTTTTCAAATTTCGAAAATTTCCCGCCAACGAAAATGAAAGTAGCTCTTCAGCAAAAGAAGGGAAATTTCAAACATGTGACTGATATGAGGAAAATGAGAAGCGAGACGAAGGAAATGTTGGTAAAATGACAGATTCTGGGAAAACAAAAGACTTGTATACGATAAGGGATGTCACGCATGATTTCATCGTCACGGTCCATGGACGCGGACAGGTTCTCCTCATAGGTAAACAATTATACGATGTAGAACTTCAGTGGCGGATCAAGGAATTTCGTAAAGGGAGGGCGCAGTAGAAGGCAGGGGTGTAGTGGTAGGGATGCATTGAATGACCCAGTGAGTCTCCTCCTAGGTAATTAATTATATGAAGTAGAACTCACATCATCGTCATTCCTTTTGGTTCCTGGTGGAGCTTATCTTCTCAAGAACTCGCATCAGTTAGCTTATAATGCTTTTGTACAACTGTAACAGTCCAGTCCAATACACAAAATCATGTAATAAAATCAATTTCTGTAAGGCACGGTAAAATCGGATTATGTTTCATGAGAGATTATACTCCACACATCAAATACATATGGTTGATTGCTTTATCCGTGCATGCAAAGTCATGGCCTATTGTTTGTACTCTATATCCCGTAACATATATTTTTGTAGCATTAAGGCATTTAAAAATATAGGGAACATTATTTATGACAAGTTTTAGGATAATAATGGAAAATTGTTTTTCTGTTTGTCCTATGGCAGAACATAAACAAAATTTTCCCTCACTCATTATTTCATACTCACCACAATGACCACGTGATACAAGTACCATTGGGTGCATATGTATGTCTTTCACGTCATAGCTTTCCTGAAATCACCGCTTTATTTGTCTACCAAATGATTTTGAAACAATATTACAGAATAAAATACATTTGAAAAATGGAAATAACTTACGACCAAATTAATTTTTTGTATAGCAAACCTTTTTGAGATTATATATATTATATGATTTTTATCCTAATTAAAAAATAATCCATAATGATTTAGTTTGAAAATGGCAAAACTCAACCACAATTAAATTTCTAGCAAATCACCTGTTTTTTGAAGAATACAGAATAAAATAAACTTTACAAATATACACACCATGTTGACATTAAGAACTCTATGGATTGTTTTACGCGATGGCTTTAACTTTTCTATTGTTAAATTCCCTTACTTATGCAGCAATATACCTTCGTCACCTGCATATGGAGTATATATATCTCCGTTGATTCGTTACGCAAGAGTGTGCTCTACGTATGAACAATTTCTTAAACGAGGTAAATTATTGACAAACAAGTTGATGAAACAGGAATATCAACTGTCTCGTTTAAAGTCATCATTTCGTAAGTTCTATGGTTGATACAATGACCTTGTCAGCAAATAAAATTTTTCACTGAGTCAAATGCTGACTGACGTTTTTCATACCAATAGTCAGTCTATTATTTATACACTGAATTGACGACACACACATACACAGTGTATCTAACATTTAATATGCAGGAAATTCAGAAACAGGAAGAAATTTATAAAAACCTTCTGTAAAAGGAAATGTTTAACAATGTTTAATATCTACAAGTTAGAATTGACTTTAATCACACAAACATTGAAATAATTGTTTCCTTATGTTATGAAAAAGGTTACAGCTTATAAAGTCATATTAGTAGAGGTTCTTGCAGGTATGAATACCAAATAATTAAGATTATGAAGGAAATATCACTTTATTGCAATAACCAAAGCATGTTCAGTAAACCTAATTAGTTTGTTCTTAACTATAACATTTGATATCATTAATATAGTAACTGTTCAAGCAAAGATAAAATTGAGTGTCTAAATCCTAAATAATCTTTATTTTACATTTAATGTTTTGCTCGCCGATCAAACTCTAAGGTCAAGTTAAAAATATTTATAGCTATCAGTCAGGGGCATCATGGAATCAAGTTATTTTTCATAATAACTTGTTTAGGTTACCTTACTTATATATGACTATACAAAGAAATAACTCATTTGAGTTAATTGAATGCCTATCAATTTCTCTAAAAAACATCAATATGTTGAGTTTTCTTCTGATTAAAGATGATGCAAGGCTGAGAAAGTTGTAAATATATGTACTTCTTTTAAAAAACTCAACAGACTTAATTTCTCCTGAGCAGATTGGATGATATTAAATAAAATCATGATTTTTTGAAAGGAAAAATCATTTGGTTTTAGGAACATTTCAGAATTACACATTTTCCGCAATTTTGCCAACACTGCGACTAATTTTCCTATAATCATTGGACATTACCGTACAATCTGTAAGTCTTATATTTTTTGTGCAAAGCTGTATATTGTTGTGCAAGAGTTCTAAAGTGAGGTTGTTGAAATAAGTTATTATTTGTGGAATTTTAGTGTCCTAGATTGTAAAATAAACTTTTCCTGTCATAAACCATCTAACCAGTACTTGATAACCCAAGGTCATGAATAAAGCTATTCAGAGCCTGTAGGTTTACACTAATAGTAGTAAAGTATCAATAACAGGAATAAGTTACTGAAGAAAAGCATAATCAGGGGAAGATAACCCAAAATGTACACATTTAATAACTTAAACAAATCATTTGAAAATAACTTGTTTCCATGATGCCCTTGACTGGCTATGGAATGGTCTTGTCACAATGAATGCCCATATTGACAAATGAAAGCCCTAGCACCAAATGTTCAAAAGTAATGTGTAATATTTTTTGCAAAATTGAGTAAAATTCCAAGGTCAAGGTCAAGAGGTCAAATCTTGTGGTACCCAAAGAAAGGTCTTGTCACAAGGAAGACACCTGTGAAATATGAAAGCCATAGCTCAACTCACTCAAAAGTGTTGAGCAAGGTTAAAATTTTTGTAGACAAACAGGCAGACGGACAGGGGAAAAAACCATATACCCCTGAATGTTCAATTACGGGGGGCATAAAAAGTGTTTTAGACTTTCATCTCACTTTGATATATCCATGGTATTCGAGGTAATTTGTTGTTTGAGAATGAGATACTTGAGTGTAACTGTTGTACAGAATGTTTTTGATTTTAGCAAATAATTTAATTTTAGTTGTAACAGGTCATTTGATTTGAAAAAAGATTTAATCCATTTCGTATAACATGAGTTGCCTTTGACCATACATGTTAACCTATTGTGATAAAAAATAGGGAGATTCAGACCTCAAAAGCGGTAGCATTGCTCGCGGGTTGTAAACGCTTGGATTATCAATATATTTCGTGTAATATACATGTATATAGCCTTAAATGAAACCTACAATAATTAATCTTAAATATCAACTGCAAAGATTGCAGTGATCTTTGCTGATATAGCCTAGAGGCAATAATTCTGAATGTTTGACCATGATGACACAATGAGTTATGTCAAAAAAGTATTACATCGCTGGACATTACTTTTAAAATACACTAAATTTGAAGACTTTTTTTGGAGGAAAAAATGTCTCATATTGTCTACACTTCAATTAAATTACAACATTTATAAGGAATGAAGCTTATTTCAGCTTATGTTATATGATATAACATAACTAGGGGTAGTTTACGCTTTTTATAAACCGAGAAGCGTTTTATGTTTGATCCTTTATTGAGAACTATATTACGCTTTTTTATAAACCGCGAAGTATAAACTACCCCAAGTTAGTTTATATCGTATAACATAAGTTCAAATAAGCTTCATTCTTCAATAATTGAACTGACATAGACAAAATACTAAATGTAGTACCGGTAGTTGTCACAGCTAATTGATTGTGTGTTGTTTTACTTCCCATCCAATACTAAATGTAGTCGTTGTCACAGCTAACTGATTGTGTTTTGTTTTGCTTCCCATTCAGTACTAAATGTAGTCGTTGTCACAGCTACAATGTAATTGATTGGGTGTTGTTTTACTTCCCATCCAATACTAAATGTAGTCGTTGTCACAGCTAATTGATTGTTGTTTTACTTCCCATTAAGGAGTTTGGACTTATCTGGAGACATTACACTCGTCCGGCTTATTCAAGGTGAAATGCTGTGAATTTGACCAATGTATAGTGAATAGGACTGAAGCAGTACATAAGCAGTGGTGGATCCAGAAATCTTAAAGAGGGGGGCCCGACCAGTTAGGGGTCAGAGTAGGGGTCCTCAACCACACAAAAAAACACTGATTTATCCATTTTTTTGTATTTTTTGGACACAAAAGAAAAGGGGGAGGGGGTGCTGGCTCCCTCCTTAATCCGCCAGTGCATAAGTGGTCTTTATAATAATATCCTTCCAATGTCTACTGTGAATCATTGAAGGTTGTTGAATGTCTATAGTGATGCAGTGAAGGCACTTAATGAAGGAACAATCACTATTTTTATTTTTAGCACTTTAGGTTTGACCCTGCACAGTCTAATATTTCAGAATCTAGTGTCATATTTACCCCTGGCTTACTCAATGGGGCCTCACAATAAAACCAGGGAAATATTACAAAGCTGTTAATTTGTAAAATTAAGAAACTGACTTTGTTTAATTCCAGGTCTTGGTGTAGATGGTAACATCCGGGCGGTTTCCACTGATAACAGCAGTTCTGATGGGATCTGTGTCTCCCTGTTACAGCTCACCCTCACTGAGAATGGGGGCATGGTACTGGCCCCAGCCAACCTTGACCTCAGCTGTACTATAAATAGCGAGGACCTCACGGGGGAAATCAACCTCATAAGTGGTGAGTAGACTGTATGATCAGCAGTGGGGACCTCATAGGGGGGATTAATCTCACAAGTGTTGTTTTTATTGTATGATTAACAATGGGGACCTCATAGGGAGAATTAATCTCATAAGTGGTGAGTAGACTGTATGATTAACAGTGGGGGTCTCACGGGGGAAATCAACCTCATAAGTGATGATTTTATTGTATGATCATCAGTGGGGACCTCATAGGGGGAATTAATCTCATAAGTGGTGAGTAGACTGTATTATTAACAGTGGGGGACCTCATACAGGGAATTAATCTCATAAGTGGTGAGTGGACTGTTTGATTAACAGTTGGAACCTCATAGGGGGAATTAATCCTCATTAAACAAGTAGACTGTATGATTACCTAATTTGTAATCATGATAAGTATTTTTTATCAATAATTTTTGACATCAAACCCTAACTCGTGTGAGCTCAGTGATATGTTGTAAAAGAGAACTTATTTTTAGGTTCCGTAACTCATGTGAGCTCAGTGATATGTTGTAAAAGAGAACTTATTTTTAGGTGTCCCTATACTCAGGGGAGCCCATAGGATATATCAGGGATATATAGCCGTAAAACCCCCTTTAGGGATCACAGTCAAAGTTTCACCCCCACCTAAACCAAAGAGAGAGGGGTGATAATAAGTTGGTATTTTTAGGTTTCCTACATAACTCTTGTGAGAGGGGGAGATAATATGGTTAAGTTTATTTTTCACCTAAACTCAAAGAGAGCTTGGTGATATGTTGAAGTTTATTTTTAGGTGTCTGTTACTCGTGTGAGCTCAGTGATATAGATGTTGTAAAAGAGAAGTTTATTTTAGGTGTCCCTATAGAGATAGCAGACAGGACCCTTAGGATATATCAGGGAGGTGTCCCAAGCCGAAAATTACCCCCTACCCCAGGGATCACAGTCAAGTCCTCACCCCCACCTAAACCAAAGAGAGAAGGGGAGATAATACTGGTAAGTTATACATCTCACCTAAACCAAAGAGAGAAGGGGAGATAATACTGGTAAGTTATACATATCACCTAAACCCAAGAGAGAAGGGGAGATAATACTGGTAAGTTATACATCTCACCTAAACCAAAGAGAGAAGGGGGGATAATACTGGTAAGTTATACATCTCACCTAAACCAAAGAGAGAAGGGGAGATAATACTGGTAAGTTATACATCTCACCTAAACCAAAGAGAGAAGGGGAGATAATACTGGTAAGTTATACATCTCACCTAAACCAAAGAGAGAAGGGGAGATAATACTGGTAAGTTATACATCTCACCTAAACCAAAGAGAGAAGGGGAGATAATACTGGTAAGTTATACATCTCACCTAAACCAAAGAGAGAAGGGGAGATAATACTGGTAAGTTATACATCTCACCTAAACCAAAGAGAGAAGGGGAGATAATACTGGTAAGTTATACATCTCACCTAAACCAAAGAGAGAAGGGGAGATAATACTGGTAAGTTATACATCTCACCTAAACCAAAGAGAGAAGGGGAGATAATACTGGTAAGTTATACATCTCACCTAAACCCAAGAGAGAAGGGGAGATAATACTGGTAAGTTATACATCTCACCTAAACCAAAGAGAGAAAGGGGAGATAATACCAAGTTATACATCTCACCTAAACCAAAGAGAGAAGGGGAGATATATGTGAAGTTATACATCTCACCTAAACCAAAGAGAGAAGGGGAGATAATACTGGTAAGTTATACATCTTATCACCTAAACCAAAGAGAGAAGGGGAGATAATACTGGTAAGTTATACATCTCACCTAAACCAAAGAGAGAAGGGGAGATAATACTGCTAAGTTATACATCTCACCTAAACCAAAGAGAGAAGGGGAGATAATACTGGTAAGTTATACATCTCACCTAAACCAAAGAGAGAAGGGGAGACACATGTAAGTATATATCAATACTGGTAAGTTATACATCTCACCTTAACCAAAGTGATAAGGTGAGTTATTACTGGTAAGTTATACATCTCACCTTAACCAAAGAGAGAAGGGGAGATAATACTGGTAAGTTATACATCTCACCTAAACCAAAGAGAGAAGGGGAGATAATACTGGTAAGTTATACATCTCACCTAAACCAAATGAGAAGGGGAAGATAATACTGCTGAGTTATACATCTCCTCGCCTAAACCAAAGAGAGAAGGGGAGATAATACTGGTAAGTTATATATCTCACCTAAACCAAAGAGAGAAGGGATGATAATACTGGTAAGTTATACATCTCACCTAAACCAAAGAGAGAAGGGGCATATCCCCTGGTAAGTTATACATACCTAAACCAAAGAGAGAAAAATAGGGTTTATACATCTCACCTAAACCAACAGAGAAGGGGGATAATACTGGTAAGTTATACATCTCACCTAAACCAAAGAGAGAAGGGGAGATAATACTGGTAAGTTATACATCTCACCTAAACCATAGAGAGAAGGGGGAATAATACTGGTAAGTTCATCTCACCTAAACCAAAGAGAGAGGGGAGAATGACAATACTGGTAAGTTATACATCTTAAACCAAAGAGAGAGGGGGGATATATACTGGAAAAATTATTGACATCTCACCTAAACCAAAGAGAGAAGGGGAGATAATACTGCTAAGTTATACATCTCACCTAAACCATAGAGAGAAGGGGAGATAATACTGGTAAGTTATACATCTCACCTAAACCAAAGAGAGAGGGGAATAAAGTACTACATAGAAGTTATACATCTCACCTAAACCAAAGAGAGAAGGGGGAATAATACTGGTAAGTTATACATCTCACCTAAACCAAAGAGAGAAGGGGAGATAATACTGGTAAGTTATACATCTCACCTATACCCAAGAGAGAAGGGGAGATAATACTGGTAAGTTATACATCTCACCTAAACCAAAGAGAGAAGGGGAAAATCTTTAAAATTATACATCTCACCTAAACCAAGAGAGAAGGGGAGATAATACATCTCACCTAAACCAAAGAGAGAAGGGGGGGTAATACTGGTAAGTTATACATCTCACCTAAACCCAAGAGAGAAGGGGAGATAATACTGGTAAGTTATACATCACATCTAAACCAGAGAGAGAAGGGATGATAATACTGGTAAGTTATACATCTCACCTAAACCAAAGAGAGAAGAGGAGATAATTCTGGTAAGTTATACATCTCACCTAAACCAAAGAGAGAAGGGAAGATAATACTGGTAAGTTATAAAGTGAGCTTCAACTAAATGATCATCTAACTTAGAATGTCTATATATGAATTATCATCTAACATAGAATGTCTATATTTGAATTATCATTTAATATAGACCTTGAGTACACCCTCTCTCATGTCCTGGACGCACATTATACGGAGTATTTCATAAGTTATTAAACCAACAGATTTGACAGACTATGTATAGTGATAGCCGAAGGCTCAAGTGAGCTTTTCTGATCACATTTTGTCCGTCGTCCGTCTGTTTCTACATATCCGAAATATATACTTTTCACAAAACTTCTTTGAAAACCACTGGGCCAAGCTTGAAGACTTGGTACAAAGCATCCTTGGGTGAAGAGGAATTTAAATTGTTAAAATGAAGGGACATATCCCCTCGCAAGGGGAGATAATCAAGAAAAGACAAAAATTGGGTTGGGTCATTAAAAAATCTTCTTCTCAAGAACCACTGGGCCAGTTAAGCTGAAACTTATGTGGACATAAACCTGAGACATTTTAAATTGTTCAAATCATGACCCCCGAAGTTAGACGGGGCCACAATGGGGAAAATGTTTTACATAGAAATATATAGGAAAAATCTTTGAAAATCTTCTTCTCAAGAAACTGGACCAGAAAAGCTCAAACTTATGTGTTTCCTGGGAAAGTGTAAATTATTGTAAAATCATGACCCCTGGGAGTAGGGCGGGGCCACAATGGGGAATAACATAGAAATATATATGGAAAAATCTTTGAAAATTTTCTTAAGAACCACTGGACCAAAAAAGCTGAAAATGTGGAAGCATCCTGGGGCCGTAGGGTAGACCCTGAAATTGTTCAAATCATGACCCCCGAGGGTAGGGCGGGGCCACAATGGGGAATCAATGTTTTACATAGAAATATATAGGAAAAATCTTTGAAAATCTTTTTCTCAAGAACCACTGGACCAAAAAAGCTGAAACTTACGTGGAAGCATCCTGGGGTTGAGTAGATTCTAAATTGTACAAATCATGACCCCCGGGGGTAGGGCGGGGCCACAACAGGGAATCAATGTTTAACATAGAAATATTTAGGAAAAATCTTTAAAAATCTTCTTCTCAAGAACCACTGGGCCAGAAAAGCTGAAACTTATGTGGAAGCATCCTGGGGTAGTGTTTAAGATTCTAAATTGTTCAAACCATGACCCCTTAGGTAAGAGTGGGGCCACAATGGGGAATCAATGTTTTACATAGAAATATATAGAAAAAATCTGAAATTCAAAGCTGAAACTTATAAATTGGATGCATACTGGGGTAGTGTAGATTTCAAATTGTTTAAATTATGATAAGTTGGAAGGGTGGGGTCATGATATGTATTTCCAGGGGGAAATCTGGTAAAGAACAGAATGGCCAATGCTTCTCAGGTGAGCTAGTGGCCCATGGGCCTCTTGTTTGACATAAACCAGAGACATGCTTGCTAACTTTTTCAATGTCTCAGTTTTTGGAAGATGTAAAGGTTTTATTTGCGGGAGGAAAACATGTTTGATTGATGAGAAATTCAAACTGTTCAATCAGTGTTTAATGTGTTTTGTGGAAAATTATGAAATGAAGATACCTCATTAAACCATAACCTACAATAATATGGATTTTTTATTGTTTTTTCTTAAGGAGGAGGAAAAAGAAAAGGAAAAGACACCAGTGCCATTCATAGACCCTGAACTTCTGATCAACATCAAATCAACAGACAAGGTGAGAGTATTAGAATTATAGACCCTGAACTTCTGATCAACATCAAATCAACAGAGAAGGTGAGAGTATTAGAATTATAGACCGTGAACTTCTGATTAACATCAAATCAACAGAGAAGGTGAGAGTATTATAATTATATATAGACCCTGAACTTCTGATCAACATCAAATCAACACATAAGGTGAGAGTATTACAATTATAGACCCTGAACTCCTGATCAACATCAAATCAACAGAGAAGGTGAGAGTATTATAATTATATATAGACCCTGAACTTCTGATCAACATCAAATCAACACACAAAGTTAGAGTATTAGAATTATAGACCCTGAACTCCTGATCAACATCAAATCAACAGAGAAGGTTAGCGTATTAGAATTATAGACCTGAACTTCTGATCAACATCAAATCAACACACAAGGTTAGAGTATTAGAATTATAGACCCTGAACTTCTTATCAACATCAAATCAACAGACAAGGTCAGAGTATTAGAATTATAGACCCTGAACTCCTGATCAACATTAAATCAACAGACAAAGTGAGAGTATAAGAATTATAGACCCTAAACTTGTGATCAACATCAAAACAACATACAAGGTGAGAGTATTAGAATTATAGACTCTGAATTTGTGATCAACATTAAATCAACATACAAGGTGAGAGTATTAGAACTATGGATCCTGAACTTCTGATCAACATTAAATCAACAGACAAGGTGAGAGTATTAGAATTATAGAACGTGAACTTCTGATCAACATTAAATTAACACACAAGGTTAGCGTATTAGATTTATAGAACGTGAACTTCTGATCAACATCAAATCAACAGTCAAGGTTAAAGTATTAGAATTATAGACCCTGAACTCCTAATCTACATCAACGTGAACTCCTGATCAACATCAAATCAACACAGAAGGTGAGCGTATTATAATTATAGACTCTGCACTTCTGATCAACATCAATTCAACAGAGAAGGTGAGAGTATTATAATTATAGACCCTGAACTTTTGATCAACATCAAATCTTTGTTTACATTTTTATAATTCTAAATTAGGCAGATATTGATAAGATTTACTACTGTAAGCCTGTATAGTATAGAATGTTATCCTTGATTTTGTAGATAATAATCCTATCCCTGAGTTTTGTGATGATGTTTCTAAATTCTAACTGTTTGATTTCTAGCTGGCAGACCTGGCCACTAGCTTTATAATTTATTGTTATATCCTGTTATTATTGATTTCGTAGTTGTTAATCCTACCCCCGAGTTTTGTTTTGATGTTTCTAACTTGTCTGATTTTCTAGCTGGCAGACCTGGCCGCGAGCTTCCTGACCAAACAGATCAACCAGTATACAGACACCAAACTGTCGTCAGCAATCACCGACCAAATCTTCTCCTTCCTACAGGTTTGTCTTATGTCCTCTATGTACTGTAGACATACTTTTTTTCCACGAGGCCAAAAATTTGTGGAATCTCTATTTCTGTTTAAACCGTAAGAAAAAATACATGGATTTATCAGTCTCCCACTTTATTCCTAACACATATATATCAGGTTCAATGGGAAAAAATTTCAACAGAAAATTTGTGACTGCATACATAGTGTATATTAATACCACTCAGAAAAAAGTGCTTTTACATTTTGTATAATACTGAACTGTCAAATACAGAAGTATTACTGAATAGTATAACAAGAATACAGCAAACACTTGCAGTGAAGATATTTTCATTCCACGTAGTTTTCAAACTTATTAACAAATCATTGTACAATACAGATTATGTAACGAATTAAAGTTTTCTTCCTTGTTGGTTATAAGCATTTTACTGTACACTTGTACTGGTCAGATTTACTGCTCATATGTCTGTGTGTGTTAGCTTTACCATGTTAACTGGTAGTACATGTACTTAATTTTTATCTCTTCTGGTCAGAAATCACAAGAGCTTATGCAATACATGTACTAAGATGTCTGTCATCTGTAAACAATTTCCTCCTATAGTGTAGGTTAAATTTCTGTGAAATGTCATGGTACACATTAAAGTACTCTATACTCTCAGTATAAGGCTACATAAAATTGAAATTCTGGTTCTCACACTAGCGCGCATCTGTTTTGAGGTAACTGCATTACTAATTTTATTGTATTTTTGATAAAATAAAAAGTTGGTATTTACCAATTCGTAAAAAAAGTTCTGTCTTCATTACTTCATAGTTTAGTACTCAAACATCACTTCTGGTAGCCATTTGCAAAGAGATTTTGGCTACTTCGTTTGAAAATACATTGGAAGACATAACCTGCGATGTTCACATGCTGATAAGCAATGGATAAAGCTAAGCTTTCGATCAGACATGAAAAGTATATCTGTGAATAAAATAATAATCTTTATCTTAAAGAAAATTAGAAAATAAAAATTAAAAATCCCTCCTTCATCTAATTTATTGCCAATAAAATGATAAATAAAATGCCTCCCTCTTGCATCTGTTTTGGAGAAAATTGGCCTGAGAACCAGAGAATAAAATTTATATATCCTAACAAGTAGAGCTACAGTCTTGTAGAGACTTCTTGTTTAATATAAATTGGTCAAACATACTGATGTTTGTTGTTACTGTTTTGAAGTGTTGGACTCTTTTGACACAGGAGGTAGCGGGATACCAGCGCGCCGTGATCGTGGCGTACATCACCGAGATATCTCAGAGTCTCGAGGAGATGCCCGAGTCTGAACGAGATCGACCGCTTCACAAACCATCTGTCAGACTGCTAGTGGAACTACTCAGACAAATCATGGTAAGATATACTGCTTCACAAACCATCTGTCAGACTGCTAGTGGAACTACTCAGACAAATCATGGTAAGATATACTGCTACACAAACCGTCCGTCAGACTGCTAGTGGAGCTACTCAGGCAAATCATGGTAAGATATACTGCTTCACAAACCATCCGTCAGACTGCTAGTGGAACTACTCAGGCAAATCATGGTAAGATATACTGCTACACAAACCATCCGTCAGACTGCTAGTGGAACTACTCAGGCAAATCATGGTAAGATATACTGCTACACAAACCATCCGTCAGACTGCTAGTGGAGCTACTCAGGCAAATCATGGTAAGATATACTGCTACACAAACCATCCGTCAGACTGCTAGTGGAACTACTCAGACAAATCATGGTCAGATATACTGCTACACAAACCATCCGTCAGACTACTAGTGGAACTACTCAGACAAATCATGGTAAGATATACTGCTACACAAACCATCCGTCAGACTGCTAGTGGAACTACTCAGACAAATCATGGTAAGATATACTGCTTCACAAACCATCCGTCAGACTGCTAGTGGAACTACTCAGACAAATCATGGTAAGTGTCCTAATCTCAGTCATACAAGGGCCATCAAAAGAACATGTGCTTTAGCGATTTTTGGGGGAAAATAACATTGAAATAGAACAAAGGAGAATTTCCTGTCATTTAATCATTGAAAATAAAACATATTTATGCCCCCGTAAACAAAGTTTCGGGGGCATATAGTTTTTGTCGTGTCCGTCTGTCTGTCTCTCTGTCTCTCTGTCTCTGTCTGTCTCTCTGTTTGTCCGCAAAAACTTTAACCTTGCCTATAACTTTTGATTAAGTGGAGCTATGACATTCATATTTCACATGTTTATTCCTTGTGACAAGACCTTTTTTGGGGTACCACCAAATTTGACCTTTTGACCCACTTTTACACAAAAAATTTGAACTTTTACTTTGACCATATCTTTTGATTAGTATACATCAGGACATTAATACTTGACATATGTATTGTTTGCGGAAAGACCTTTCATTTGATACCAACAACCTTGACCTCTTGACCTTGACATTAGATATTTTTGTACTAATGAAAAAACTTTAACCTTGGCTAAAACTTTTGAACAGAAAGTGCTATGGCATAAATACTTCACATATATAATCCTTGTGAAAAGACGCTTCATAAGATACCAAGAACCTTGACCCTTTGACCTTGACCTTGGAGTTTGACCTACTTTAAAAAACAACCTTGATCATAATTTTTGAAGGGTTAGGACTAGGGCTTTTATACTTCACATATGGATTCCTTGTGACAAGACCTTTTTTGGGGTACCACCAAATTTGACCTTTTGACCTTGACCTTTTAGTTTGACCCACTTTTACACAAAAATTTTGAAGATTTACTTTGGCCATATCTTTTGAACAGTATACACCAGAACATTAATACTTGACATATATATTGTTTGTGGAAAGACCTTTCATTTGATACCAACAACCATGACCTCTTGACCTTGGAGATTTTTGTACTTATCAAAAAAGTTTTACTTTGCCTATTACTTTTAAACAGAAAGTTCTAGGCTAACATACTTAACATATATAATCCTTGTGAAAAGACGCTTCATAGGGTACCAAGAACCTTGACCCTTTGACCTTGACCTTGGAGTTTGACCTACTCTAAAAAGACAACCTTCACCATAATTTTTAAAGGGATAAGACTAGGACTTTCATACTTCACATATGTATTCCTTGTGACTAGACCTTTCATTTTATACCAAGAAAATTTACCCTTTGACCTTGACCTTTGATTTTTATCCACTTTTACACAAAAAATCCAAACTTTTACTTTGACCCAAGTTTTTAAATGGTAGATACTAGCAATTTCATATTTTAAAAATCAGTTCTTATTGGCAAGACCTTTCATTTGAAATCAACAATTTTGACCTTTTGACCTTGACCTTGGAGATTTTTGTACTTTCGAAAAACTTTAACCTTGGTCATAACTTTTTAACAGTAATGGCTAGGGCTTTCATATTTCAAATGTGTAATTCATGTGACTAGACCTTTCATTGGATATCAAGAACCTTTGACCTTGGAGTTTTACCTTCTTTTTAAAACTTTAACCTAGCTTGATCATAACTTTTGAACGGTGAGGGCGAGCGCTTTTATACTTCCCATATGTAATCTGTGAGACAAGGCCTTTCTTTAGAAACCAACAACCTTTACCCTTTGACCTTGACCCCAGAGTCTGTCCTACTTTAAAAATGTTAACCATGGTCATAACCCTTGAATAGGTGATGCTAGTGTTTTATATTTCACATTTGTATTTCTTGTGAAAAAGGCCTTACTTTAGGTACCAACATATTTGATCTGCATTTGAGAAAGCTTAACCTTCGCTATGTTGCCATACGGGGGCATCAGTGTTTCATAAACACATCTTGTTTGCATTTATTCCTACCTCATTACCTATTACTCTGTGTTTTAAGGAATAAACAACAAGTAGATCTACTTATTGTTTTTTTATATCAATTTCCCATGTTTTCACATTTTTATGCTAACAGTTTGTCAAAATGTATG